TTTGTTGTGAAAATGAAGAAATCGAATTTATTAAACCTTATATACTCATAGATGTTTTATAAATATTGATAATGACTTAAAGAGAATTAAGAGAAGGAAGAGTGAAACATCAATGAATAATTTTTAATCTTCGATTAATTCCTTTTTTTACGTTTTAAAATAATATAATTAAAATCTGTAATGGTTGAAAAATGAGGGGAGGATTATAAATTGATTTCCTAGAAAACTGAAAAAACTTCTTGAATTCTTCGGAAAATTTCACAGTTTTCCAGATAACCGTAAATCTTCAAAGATTTTTCTCGAATTATTTGGAAAACCGAAGAATTTTCATGAATTTTGTAGAATTCAGAATTTATGTATAAAAATCTCCGAAGCAAGAATTGATCATTTTTGCGTATGATAAATATGAAAAAATTAAAATTTGGGAAGTGAAGAATAATTTGTGAGTTGAAAAAATNATTCGATGAGGTTTGTTATGTTCTATTGAGTCTGGTGAGGTTCACTGAACCCTTATGGAGAGGCAAAAATCGGTTATCATGGGACAATGAGTATTTCAGGTCAATCTCGTAAAAACTCGCGCCAAGTGTCAGCCAATTGACACAGCTGTAATTAGTCAAGGTCGAGTGAGCGTTACATTAAAAAAAAGTGTTATCAAATCTCGCGTGAGCGTGTTGTGTACTCGGCTGGCGTCAGGAAGCCCCAGTTTCGATGGTTAATTTATGGCCGGTGAAGTCATTAATCCGGTTTTTTTCCTTGTTTCAGTGAAGAAAAAGCGCTCAAAGGCCCGAAGATTCTGCCTTCGCAGCAATTGGGCGCTGCGGTCGCTCCATGGCCGGGCGCCACTGGCCTCCTGGCCTCTGTTACCGCTGACGATATGGCGCATAAAGGTGAGTAAATAGTGATAGCGTTCTGGATTGTAGATTGGAGGGGGTGAAAGGCATCCGGAGACGTGCGGATTTCAATTGAATCGAATTTGCCGAATTTTTTCAGTTGTTTAGACAGTAATTTGGGGGAAATTGAAATTATTTCTGTTGCGAAGTGGTAAAACGATACAACACTGGTGGAAATTTCTTGAAATTTCAGTCACAATGTCATCTGAATTTTCAATGTTGGGAGTTTGAATTCAATTTCAGATGAAAACGCTCACTAAATTTCTGATTCATCTTGAAAAATCAAGAAAATTGAGGTTTTCATGTCAAAGAATCATTGATTTTTCAATGAAATTTTGAATTTCCAAACTTATTGTGAAAATTGAACATCACATACTACTCAATTTTCAATAGAGAAGTTATTGCCTGAATTTTCAAAATTTTCAAGGGTTCTCAGTGCCGTATGGACCTGAAAATCGAGAATTATTTCAATATTCAAGAAATTAACTGATTCGTCAATGAAGAATTCTGAAGAAATTTCATGTAACTTTGTCGTTGTTAAAAATTTCAAGCTTTTTCACTTGAAATTCCATGAGTAATTTCCTAACAGTGAAGTCAATTTTAACTATTAACCAGTTTTCAATGAATATCTCGGAATCTAAGGGAGATAGCAAAATATTTTTAGAACCTTTTTTGTAGAGCCGATTGAGAGCTACAACAAATGTCATTACGAAAATTTTGCTATCTCCCTTAGATTCGGAAACATTTCTCGAAAACTCAACTGGGGGATAAGTCCACTTGAACCGTTTTTCCACTTCGCTACTGATTTATTCATTTCAAGAAAATGTTTTTGTTGTAAGGAAGTAATTGTCTGGGGGAATAGAATGAACGATTTATTTGAGCTGAATAGAGGAGTATGGAACACTGTTAAAGCTTTTTGAATGAAATTTCTACTGCACGTGAAATTTTTGTGAAGTCACTGTTTCACTGAAATTTCAAAGACTAGAAGAGGGCGCGCGCTTCGCGCGCGTATTTTTTTCATGGGTGCCAGATTAGTGGAATCTTACCATTTCTCGCTTTCATTAATTTTTATCTCAATAACAATGCAGAAAAACGAATGGTTTCAACGAAGTTTTTGACAATGAGAATTTAATTGTTGAATAATTCATTCGGAATCGTCATAATTCTCTTCATCTTCTTCTTTGTCTCCCTTTGGATTTTTGCGTTCTTTTTTATTTTTAGGGATGTATTATGTACTATATACATGCATACTATACCTCCACTGTTAGAAATTTTTGAAAATTAAGTAATGGTTGCACTTGAACTCTCAATGTTGTGAATTCGAATTCAATTTAGGATCAAATCATTCATGGAATCTCTCATTCAGCTTGGAAATTCAGAATAATTGAGTTTTCCATGTTAAATTATCACTGAACGATATTTCGACGACATCTAGAATTTTCAAATTCATTGTGGAAATTGAACATCACATGCAACTGAATTTCCAGTGGATTAAAAATTCAGGGAAATTGTTGCTTGAATTTTCAAATTATTTAATAATTTTCATTATCACAATTGTTAAAAATGTCAAGATTTTTTACTTGAAATTTCAGGAGTAATTTTCTAACAGTGTCCATGTATTTTTTTTACAATACAGAACTGTATTACATTTTTTTATTGTTTAAAAAGTCTAATAATCGATTCGTTCATTTATTCTGATAACTAATGGGTTAATTACTAAAATGAATGAGTGCCCTGATGTTGAACACTGTGATCGAAACGTTGGCAATTGGCGGAAGAATTGTTTTCCATATTTCTTCTTCGGATTCTTCCCCATATTTATTTTTATTTGAGTTGCTGGTACGACCGTTAATGGCTGAGGAAGTTGAAGTTGTTTAAAAAATTGAAGTAAAGGGATAATGAATGACGCGAGTGATTCCATTTTCACCCAAAACCGATAAATCCTACTAGTTTAATGAGGGGTACCAAGGCGTATAAAATACCGTGAATCCACAAGTGAGTAAACATCCCAAGATAGACGATGTCAGTAGTGGGTTTCAGCTGAATGGATATGATTCTCGAGGCGCGTTCAGGGTGCTTGAAAATCGCCCGAGTTATCTGACCGAGTGCGCGCAAGCCCACTGGGGTGTGTAGCGTTAAGTTGCCGTTGGGATCATCGAATCAAGTGCCGCGACATTCTGGCCCAAACGCCACGAGCTCGATTGTCAAACTTAACAAAATATTCGATTCATCAAAAATAATAGAAAGCCAAAATGATGGAGCTGAAGCCGATATTGAGCGGATTATTCGACAGCGAAAAATTCATTTTTGGGATTTTCTACTGAGAGAAACGCAAACACGTTGCCAAACAAGTCTTGTTTGGACCAACAAAATCGCGTTGAAAATTGCCAAAAAGAATGTCTTTGGTTCGAATTTGAAAGTCTCAAACATGAATAATCGTTCTGCTTTCGACAGCATTGAAATATTTGACTCGAGATGCGGATAATTCACACCAGACGGTGCCTTTTCAGGATGAAAATATCTCATGCAAGGGAAATTTATCAACAAATATTTCATCCCTAAATTACAAGATTGCTATCATATCATTATTATTGTTTCATTTAAGGGTTCACTTGTTGTCTGTAATTATTAGACCGCCGAAACGAAAAACTACTATCCCCTATTTCGCATAAAACAAAGATTTTTCGGGAGCAAAATACGTATGGGAGTATCGAATAACGAAGGAGTAGTGCGAGAAATGACATTTCTTGCGTGTACAGAGAATGCAATTTTTTTTCAACTAAATCTATTTTTGCGAGAAAAATTTTTCATTCCAGCGCACTCTCTGCATGTTTTGCACAAAAAATCCTTTTTTGATAATTTTCAAAAAACTATTTTCTGGGCACAAGTAAGACTTGTTTGAGAACTTTATCGATTTTCTCTCAGTGTAGGGTTGAAGGTACATCCCAAGACATCGGACCCAAAAGTTAGTCCCTATAAATTTGCGGAAAAAAATCTAAATAACTTAATTTATTGCATCTCACAAGTTATTGTGTTTTTCTATCCTCAAATGTTGTTGGTGAAGGCAACACATGTTGTTTGAGTGAAATAAGAAATGATTGCACGAAATTTTTATTGATTAGGTTTTACAAAAAATTCAACCTATTCAGCATTTATCAATCTACCACGGATTCGTTTTTTAAAAAAATCGTAAGAACCGTTTTTCATTATTTATTATTTCCTATGGTGTGTTGTACACTTAATTAGAATTTTTTCACCACTGGAGAATATTATAAACATCGACGAAAAGCATGTGGACAATCGTAATAAAAACCTTAAGAATCAAATGATCGTATCAGCAAACTTTTTTCAATTGCTCACGATTAAAAAATATTCGTACACCCCTGCAGAATCGTCTGAGTCGAATCCTCCTCTAGTGTCAGCTGCGTCCCCAAAACGAGTGATACTGCACATTATTTCTGAAAGAGTTTCAAGAAAACCGGCGAAATTGATCGCTCCAGTACTCCTTATGCACTCCACGAATATACGCAAGACTCTTTACATAAAAAAGAAGAAGAAAAATGGAAGGAGAGGTGGAAAAAAACGCCCTGCAAAGTTCTCCGGAGCGAAACACCAGAGTTCTCTTCCTCTTTTGATCCGACGGGCGTCGCGACGAGCGCCTCGACGACTCTTATTCAATTAATTCGTAACTGCTCCTCGGCGACAAAAATGCCGCCCCCGGTACGCGCTCAGTCGTCCTCTTCACTCTCTTTCGAGCGCAAAAAGAGGGGGAAAAAATCACGAGGGAGAGGCACACCGTTAAGAAATCCCCAGTTTCAAAGGTCGCACACACACCCCCTTTCCTCCCTGCTAACTCAGCGAAAAAAAAAGAAATCCCCACTCTTTCTTCTACCCCATTTTTCTCAATTCTCCTTTATTCCCTGAATTTTTATACATTTTTTTCTTCTTTTGAAGACACACTGAATACATTTTTTAATTTCATCACTGAAAATTTGAAATTTTGTGCACAAATCAATGGAAACTCTACATTTCACTTCAATTATTTCCGTGAAAATCGATGGAAATCCGGAAAATTCAGGTAATAATATTCTTAAATTTTCAATTAAGTGAAACTCCAGTGTAATTTGGGACTAAATAACTATGTTTTCCGTGCCAAATCCTGAAAATTTTTATCACATTTAATTTTCACCGAAATTTCAGGAAATCTTGTCATTGAAATCTCAAATATTCCGTTGATTTTCTGTTTGAATAACCTGAAAATCAATAAAATACTTGATTTTTCAGTTCAATTATTCCGTGCAAATTCGGAAAAATCCGGAAAATTCAGGGAAAAATTGAAAATTCGTGTCATTTTGTTTCCAAGTATTCATGTTCCATTAAAAATTCTGTCAAGTTGAGAAATGTCATCTCACTCCCACTGAAAACTCATTAACTTAATTGAATTCTACCTAAAACTTGAAATTTCATAACCCTTTTTCCCCTAAATCAGACTCAGTGTCACTCTCCCGAGAATTTCCCTCATATTTTCCATTTTCCAAATTGCGAAAAATTTCCACCAGTGTGTACGAGAAAAGAGCCAATAATGAACGATGACTCTGGGTGTAAATACCCCTGGGTCGCACCCCCTCCCCCATCTTCCCCCTTGCTAACTCAGCGAAAAAAAAGAAATCCCCATTCTTCCTTCTACTCCATTTTTCTCAATTCTCCGTTCCTCCAAATTTTTTCCCATTTTTTTATCTCGTTTCAAAAGCACACGTATTGATTCGATGATTTTTCGGGTATGCGTTATACATTCCCTGGGCCATGGGCGCGCGGAATAAGAACGTAAAAGTGGAGGCGAGAGAGGGAGAGGACTCTTACCGGCGAATCGGCAATTCACTCGACTGTGAAATTTCCTCTTCAAACAGAAAACGCCCGCGAGGGCGTATACGCATTTAGAGTGAGTAAAATTCCGTCTTGGAGATGTACACACGTATAAACGAGAGGCGGGAGAGAAT